GTGTCAGGGACACATTTAGAAAGTGGGATCCCCACTGAATCACCCCCTTCCTAACCCTTTCTGTGCCATGGGCCATCTTGGCACCTGGGTTGATCTTGGGCAGTAAGCACAGGCGGTGATGGTGGGCCCTTTTGAGAGCCCATGAGTTCTCTGGAAACCGTCTCCCCCTTGACTGAGTGAACAAAACAGTCTTCATCGCCATGGAGCCCCAGGGCTCGGCCTGTCACCACCTCTCCGGCACCGGGATCGCAGGTACAACCCACCACCCCTGGCTTTTCATGGCTCTGGGCATTTGTGCAGCAAGCGCATTACAGACCCACTGGTCTCCCCTTGGACTGCAACTCCTAAGCTTCACTCATTTCTACTGCTGACGTCATCCGCCAGTCAGGCCAGGGCTGTCCCCTGAGTCCCACCAGCCCCTCCCCTGGGTGGCACCCGTTGTGAACTCACTGGGGCGGGGACGGTGGCACTGTCTAACTTTCCTCCCCGGAGGCCAGTGCAGGGTTCAGCACACAGTAGGTACTCGGTCCGTCTTTGCTGAGTGTGGCCCAAATCATCATGAACTAGTTCTAACATTGTCATGTGGCAGACAGACATGACCTGTGGTAACTTTCGGCCTTGCAAAGGGCTCTTCGTGGTGTGAGCAGCAGCGGGAGAGCCCCATGCCTTCAGCTGCTGTTTAACTACATTCCTGCTCAGCCATGTTTTTTCCTTTCCTCCAAGCTCTTTGCTCTCATTCTGAGCAGCACTGAGGCCTCCTCTGTGCCTCGGGTCTTCCGTCTAATCCCATACTGACTTTTGGAAACGTTCTCATCTTTCCTAAGCCTGCTCAGAGCCCATTCCGCCTAGCTGTTCTCACATCCCAGGCAAAGGAACTCTTCCTTATCAGGTGCCTGCAGAGCGCTGGTCATCTCTCGAGGCCCTCGGGGTTGATTCTGATTCGGGACTGTGAAACAAATGGGCATTTCCAGTGGTTCCTCCTTTCTCTTCTTCTTTTTTTTTTTTTTTAAGGATTTATTTATTTACTTATTTATTTATTATGCATACAGTATTCTGCCTGCATGTATGTCTACAGGCCAGAAGAGGGCACCAGATCTCATTACAGATGGTTGTGAGCCACCATGTGGTTGCTGGGAATTGAACTCAGGACCTTTGGAAGAGCAGTCGGTGCTCTTAATCTCTGAGCCATCTCTCCAGCCCCCTCCTTTCTTTTTGAGTCAATGATTTTTCAGAATTTCTATGTAATGGATTTCATTTGTAAACACCCTCATGTAGACATCTATCTGCCTTAGATTATCCAGTTACAGACTACACCAAGTAGACCTGAGGCACAGACATTGCAAAGGCGAGAGCAGTCTGTCAGGCATTGAACTCCACAGAACAAGAGCCCATTGTGTGGCTCACACTGCACAGTGCTGTGGGTGAGGCCCCTCCTGCTGGAAGACTGTGAAAGGGATGCAGCATCTACTGTTTGAGCTTTGCTAATATTGGTCATCTTCACACACCAGCGCTTGAGCCTGAGAAAATGCACCCAGTCTTCCTTGGCTGTCCTGTTCTGACTGTTGTCAGGGTCTCATGGCTCTCCACTCTCACCATTGTCAGGGTCTCATGGCTCTCCACTCTCTCACCATTGTCAGGGTCTCATGGCTCTCCACTCTCTCACCATTGTCAGGGTCTCATGGCTCTCCACTCTCTCACCATTGTCAGGGTCTCATGGCTCTCCACTCTCTCACCATTGTCAGGGTCTCATGGCTCTGCACTCTCTCACCATTGTCAGGGTCTCATGGCTCTCCACTCCCTCACCATTGTCAGGGTCCCTCCTCCACACCAAGTCTCTCCTCTGAGCTGTCTGACAGCTGTGAGGTGCTCTCCTTGTCTCCCCATCAGTGTTGTTCTCTTTGCTATGGTGGGAAAAAATTGAATTTTCAGCTGTGTGCATCAAACGTCAGAATGGGATGACTCTCACAAGTGAATCATCCTGCTGGGTGAATCCAGCCTCCTTTTGTTTATTAACTTGGTCTATTTTAGCAGAGATTCTGTTCTCCTTCAGTTTACTATTTTAGTCCATTTTTGGTTCATCAGAAATAATGGGTAAAAAATGATGGAAAATAACTGTGACGGGTAGTGCATAGAACATGCTTCTTAAAGACAGCAAAAAGACCACAAAGATCCTGTCACAGATTTTACGTTTGTAAAACGCCCAATGAACCCACGGTAATTGTCGAATAGATTGAGTTTGATTCCATTTGAAAAATAAGTAAACTTTTTCTTTGTTCTTTAGACCCCTTCTAAGAGAATAAGAGCTGTGAAATATCAAGCCTTAAAAATAGATAGAATGACCCCCAAGGAATATCAAAGACCCAGATGGAATGCTATGTTACCAATCTAGGGACATTCCAACCCCTCAGAATACCTGTATTATTCTTTGACAGCCTCATACGTGTATACAAAGTATCTCAATCCTGACCACCCTCAACTCCTCCCTCCCACTCTCCTGTGCACCCCTCCCACCCTGAGACCTCCCCACCCACAGCCCGCTTTAATCCAGAGTTCCCCTAGTGCTTCCTGCTGCAATAGCGGCTGGTCTGATCGGCTTGCCTTTGTGCAGGTAACCACCAATACAGTGAGTTCATGAGTACAGTGGTCATGCCGTGTCCAGGAGATGGCATGTCACAGGTTCATGGATGAAGTGATCATGCCATGTCCAGATGGCACGTCACAGCACTCCCCATCCAGGCTTAGACTATTTTCCTCTCTTTTCCATGGTGTCCCCCAAGCTTTGGGTGAGAGGGGGGGTATAAATGCCCCGTTTAGAGGGAATGGACATTTCAGGACACATCTGCACAACCAAAAACCAAGAACAGAGTAAGAACCACAATCTTCATGGCCTCCTTGGGTCCCCCCAGCCTGTAAGAGTCACATTCCTAGAAGGAACTTTGCATATAATTACCAAGTAGAAAGCAGGAGCAGAAGGTATGGCCACTAACTAGTGAGGGCTGGAGTGTTAGGGTGTCACACACTAACTAGTGAGGGCTGGAATGTTAGGGTGTCACACTAACTAGTGAGGGCTGGAGTGTTAGGGTGTCACACACTAACTAGTGAGGGCTGGAATGTTAGGGTGTCACACTAACTAGTGAGGGCTGGAGTGTTAGGGTGTCACACACTAACTAGTGAGGGCTGGAATGTTAGGGTGTCACACTAACTAGTGAGGGCTGGAGTGTTAGGGTGTCACGCACTAACTAGTGAGGGCTGGAGTGTTAGGGTGTCACACACTAACTAGTGAGGGCTGGAGTGTTAGGGTGTCACACACTAACTAGGGAGGGCTGGAGTGTTAGGGTGTCACACACTAATTAATGAGGGCTGGAGTGTGAGGGTGTCACACACTAACTAACTAGTGAGGGCTGGAGTGTTAGGGTGTCATACACTAACTAGTGAGGGCTGGAGTGTTAGGGTGTCACACATTAACTAGTGAGGGCTGGGGTGTGAGGGTGTCACACATTAACTAGTGAGGGCTGGAGTGTTGGGCATCACACACTGTGGCTTACACATGCACAAGGGCCTTGCACCGTCAGCTCTGGAATACTGATCTTGCCTTTTTTTTTTTTCATTTGAGCTGGATGAGAGCAACACTGGAAATCCCAGTTCAAGCATTGTCCAGGGAAACCTTCCCGGTCTGCTTATGGGATGCACAGGGTCCCAACACCCTGTCTTCTCAGGGTCCCCCCACCAGTTCCCCTACACACTGTCCTCTCTGCACCTAAAGGCGCCTTGAATCCATGAGTCAGGTTTCGGTCTCCTCTGTCAGGGGGCGGCTGGTGGCAGGGCCAGACAGGTTTGCCCAGCTGCCAGTAAGGGAAGCACAAGAATCCTGAGAGTGAAAAAGAATGAATTCGGGGCTAGGGAGATGACAGTGCTTGTCTTACAGTAGGAGGATCTCAGTTCAATTCAACCCCAGGAAGAAAAAAAAAAAAAAAAAAAAAAAAAAAAAAGCCAGGTAGGGTGGTGCTGGGGAGCCAGACAATTGGATCAGATCTCTGGGGCTTGCCTACTTGATGAGCTCCAGGCAAGTCAGAAGTAGACCTAGGGAGGCAGTCAGAGTCAACCCAGGGCAGATTTGAAGGGGATTCCAAATCTCAGAGGAGAAGCCCTAGTCCAGGGAAGGGAACCAGGTACTCAGGCATGTGGAACTCCAGGCGCATGAGCGACCCTGCCTCAAAAACAAACAAGGCAGACTGTGACCTAGTGTGGTTTGAATAAGAGAGGCCCCCATAGACACACATTTGATGCTGTGTCACCAGGGAGTGGCACTGTTTGAAAGCCTTAGAAGGATTAGGAGCCTTGTTGGAGGAGGTGTGTCACTGGGGGTGGGCTTTGAGGTTTCAAATGCTCAAGCCTAATCATGGCCCAGGTTCTCCTGTGCACTCTGCTCCCCCTCCTCCCTCTCTCTCCCCCTCCCTCCTTCTTCCTCTCTCTCTCTCTCTCTTTCTCTCTTTCTTAACCTCTCTCTCCCTCCCTCCCCCCTCTCTGCTTGCTGATCAGGATGTAGCCCTCAGCTACTACTCCAGCACTTGCCTGAATGCTGCCATGATTCCAACCATGATGATAATAGAATAAGCCTCTGAAACTGTAAGCCAGACCCAGTTAAATGCCTTCTTTTATAAGAGTTGCCTTGGTCATGGTTCTCTTCACAATATAACAGTGACTAAGACGCTAAGAAACAACAGCCAAGGTTGTCCTCCACTCTCCTGGTTCATGTCCCACCCATGCACATACACAAAATCACGATTCAAACACTATTCTAAGTGTGATGCTCATTTGCCTAAACCCTTTGGCCAAGTGTCCAATGTGTTAAGGAAAGTCAGAATAAAGTAGAAATCAAGTCAGGAAAGTTGCCGCTGCCCTGGGCTTCCTCCCCTGGGCTTCCTCCCCTTGGGGTTCACTGGGGACACCTGCGTCCCACTCCAGAGGAATCTTTATCTCCTGATTCTGGCTGCACACAGGTGTCAGACAACGTGTCAGAGACTGACATCAGCAACGAGGCTCAGAATTCCCGGACCAGCACAGACTCGGCAGAGGAAAAGCTGAGGAACAGATTGTACGAATTAGCCATGAAAATGAGCGAAACGGCCACTTCTTCTGGGGAGGACCAAGAGTCCGAGCCCAAGACTGAACCAGAGACCCAGAAGGAAAGCCTATCTTGTGAGGAAACCAGCCAGGGTGTGCAGGAGGAGCTGAAGAAGGTAAGGACCAGGAGACACCTGCAGACAGGGCTGCCTGCTGCAGCTGCCGTGTGTGGTGTGTGTATGTGTGTGTGTGTGGTGTGTGCATGTGCGTACAAATGTGTGTGTGCGCATGCCTGTTTGCACATGCCTGTGTGCATATGTGCATACATGTATGCATGTGTGTGTGTGTGTGTGTGTTTGCATGCATGTGTGTGTTTGTGCAGAGATGCCCTGGGCCCCAGAAAGCTTTCTCTACAGTGTTCAGCCCATGTACCGGGAGAGAAAAAGAGAAAAGAGAACTCCTCTTTTTTCTTTTTTTTTCTTTTTTTTTTTTGGTTTTTTGAGACAGGGTTTCTCTGTGTAGCTTTGAAGCCTATCCTGGAACTAGCTTTTGTAGACCAGGCTGGCCTCGAACTCACAGAGATCCGCCTGCCTCTGCCTCCCGAGCGCTGGGATTACTTTCACAGTCATTGCCAGGGACAATCGAGGAAGGGACACACTGCCCTAGAGAGTCACCCACATCAGGGCTCCTGCTGTCCTTCACCTTGAGTCTTCCATCCCGTGACCTTCCCAGTGTCCAGTGATGACACCATTGTCTTCCTCTCCCTCTTCCTCTCCCTCTTCCTCTTCCTCTGCCCGTGGTCTGGGATTATGCACCTCCCCCTCTTGAAAGCAGTGAGGAGGCTTCTATCCAGGACACAGGAGCTTTGTGTTGCAAGTGGCCATCTGGACTCGTTGGCTGTGCCATTTTTAGATCCCAATTTGTTTATTTCAGCCCAAGATTCCCTTTCAGAGCAATCTTCCATGGAGCCCCTGTGTTCCAAACAGGTCAGTCCTGTTCTTAGGGTCCCAAAACCCAAGCACTGGGCCTTCAGCCCACACTCCTTCCCTTCCTCACAAGCAAAGCTGGGGTCCTAGGCCCATGGTTTGAGAAGCATGGAGGATAAGCCAACCCCCAGCAGAAAGGGATCACAGCCACCTCCCACTCTGCCTCTGCCTACTGTGCCAGCTTCCTTCTAAAGTTTCTCAAGACAGGCTGATGCCCAGTGCCCCTGTCTGCCACCAATGACAGGAAAGAGTGACTTGTTGAGCGTTCCCTTGTCATGCTGTAGATAGGAATATAGATAGGTAGATAGGCAGACAGATAGATTGATAATGGATAGATGGTAGAGCGTGATAGATAACAGGCAATGAACAGACAGACAATAGGCAGGGTTAGATTGGTAGGAATATAACTGAATGATGGGGTCAATCTGTGTACATAGTAGACAGATGACAGGATGATAGGTGATAGATTGGTAAATGTTGGACGATAGATAAATAAATACATAGATAGGTGATAGACTGATGCTGATAAATTATAGATAACAGACAGATAGATTATGGGGAGTCTCTGCAAACACCACGGCCAGTAGAGTAATGATCCATGTGAGCCAAGAAGGAAATCTAGCTCAACACCACTCAGTGGCCGGTGTTGGTTCAAGCTTCTAGAGTCTGTCACTGGGCAGTTTATTGTAGCTATTTTTAAGCACAGCACACTTCTGGAAAAAAAGTTTCCTGATGATAATTAACTCAGTCTCCCGCGGGCCCCCCCCCCCCCCGTGTACAATAAAACATAAGACATGTTTACATTGAAACTGTTTACAAAGTACACATGATCTCTGCCATAAAGATGGTTCTATTGACTGAGGAACAGTGCTCAAGATAAGGGTATAGGAAGAGTGACTGAGGTAAACATAACCGTGTGGCCTTGCCCTACAGATAGCACAGAGGTCACCTAGGCTGTTGTAAAATGCATGTTGATATCTCTCTTAAGAGTGGGTTCTGTTTGAGAAAGGACACTTGAGATAAAGGTCTAGAGAGGGAGAGTCTGGGAGAAACAATGTCTGTGGGAGTCAGGTGTGGCCTGGCCCTACAGATAGCACAGCTCACCAGGCTGCTAACTATCCCCATCCCCATCCCTTCCAGGCAGAAAACAGACAACACTGCATGGTTAAGGTTCCTGGCTTCCCTAGTGCTTATCTGTGAGCACAGAGACCTTGTGCCCTCTACAGGGAATGGACTGATAATAATGATAGATTGGTAGATGATTGATTTATAGATTGTGTGATGATAGATAATAAGTAGAAGGTTGACTGGCTGGTTGGTTGATTGATGTAGTTAGATTACTAGATACCAGACAAGCTCTCTAAATAACCCATTGACATAGTTGCAGCTGCTGTTACAGATGGAGAGAGTGAGCCTGGGTTATCAAGGCCACGGCAGTGTCAGAGCTGAGGATTCATCACAACCTTGACCTCAAATCATGAACTCCCTCTTTGTAACAAGTCACCTCTTGTTAGCTCCAGCAGGTTTCATCCCTCAACACCTGGGGCTCTGTGTTTCACACTTGAGAGGTAGTTCAAGTAGACTCACCTCTTAGGAGGGTCTTTTCCCTCTTCCAAGGATACACCATGGCTCACAGGTTCTTGCTACCCCTCATGCATGTGTGAAGGATCTCCCACACCCTGCTAGGCAGCTGAACCAGCTGAACTGTCAGAGAGGAGATAGGACCACTATGATGACAGATGGTCAGCATGGGCCCTGGGGGAAGTAGAGACTGTCACATGATGTCTGTCTAACAGAGCTTCCAAAGCTTGTTGGCTTTTCAGCCTAGTGGTCCCAAAGCTCTAAGGAAGACTCGTGCTGGACCAGTGGCAAGGCATGAGGTACACACGCCTGTCTGCTGTGTGCACTCCTAGGAACGAAGGGCAGGAAAGGAAGGCCACTGGGAGAGCAGCAGAGCCCTCCCCCACCATGCAAACTCCACCTCCACTCCCGAGTGTAGACTCCCCAGAGTTCAAGTCCATCCCCCAATTTACAAGTTCATGAAAATTCAACCATTTATCACTCTTTGTACATGAAAATCAGTGCCTAAAAAACAACAAAGAAGAATACATTTCCTCCAGCAGGCATGACAGCTGGAGAGCAGAAATACAGATTTACAGATTGGATATTATCTAAGCGTACAGATGTACTGTACAGAGATGGGTTCTAGGCTTAGAGTGTTTTGTTGTTTTGCAAACTCTCAACTTAGGCTGATGTCTTAACTCATCACTGTGGATTTCAGGCACCCATTGTCCTTTCTTGCCTGTCCACCAACCGTCACATCTTCAGTGGTCTCCTGTGAAGGGCTCCTGGCCCTTGCTGGACCCTCCAGTCCTTTTCCCACTCAGCAGCCCAGCTACCCTGCTGTCTATCACAGTACTTGTTCTCAGCGTGTCAGTCTGTCTGTGACGTAGTTCGGATTTGCATTGGTCTGAGTCAGATATGGAAGTAAATTTGGAAAGATGAAAGAAGCAGAGCAGCCCAGCCACTAGAGTTCTTAACCTCTACAAAATCTGTCTCTGCTCACCTTGTATTCCTCTCTCTGCCCAGCCATATCACTTCCTGTTTCTTCCTCCCTGGTGCTGGGATTAAAGGTGTGTGCTACCACTGCCTGCACTCTATGGTTGACTAGTGGCTAGCTCCACCCTCTGACCTACAGGCAAGCTTTATTAGAGCACAAACAAAATATCACCACACTGTCTGTCTGCCTGTCTTATTTTTAACTTGATTCCTAGGACCCAGCCCAGATTTTTATTGCTGATTGGGTAAACACATCTTGCCCTACTTGTAGGACAGGGATAATCAAACTGCCTTTCAGAGTTGTGAGGCTTGAATTATGCAGCATAAGCTTCGAGCCCAGCAGGAGCCCAGCAAATGTTAATTAGCATATCCCCTGTAACAAGCTCCAGGAAAATCAACTTCACAAAATACTGTCCATCTGCTGGGGCTGAGAATGGCGAGCTCAACGCCTTGCTCAGACACAGATCTGTAACCACAGCTGGTGCAGAATGTCAGTGGGGGGAGCACTGCGTGGGACTGAACCCCAAGTTCCCATCTTTAAGGTCAGTGTAGCTGTGACACCTCCCATGATTCAGCCACTGCCAGTCTATGCAACACACACACACACACACACACACACACACACACACACACACACACACACCCCAATGTCAAAGAGTGGGAACCTTAGACCTCACAGGGACCTGCTCCTGTTGCATCTGTCCCTGCTTCCCCAGAGCTGACATACTGTCAGTTTGGTGACTTTAATGCAACTTTTTCTGTAGAACTTTGGGTTTTCGGGTCCTGCCCAGCAATAGCAGAACCCCTTTAAAAGCATGGTTTCTTTCCTTGCTTGTAGTCAGACCCTGGCAGTTGGCAGATTTACCCTTCAGCTGGCCTGAATGGTTCACTTTGGCTGGGCGTAAGTGGACCAGTGATAATCGAGAAACTCCTGAAGAATGAGCTTGTAGATCCTGGGGGTTAGTCCCAAAACCTCATGGCAATTAGTTGTGCAAAGGGATCATGTTCCCTCTTTAAGTGGCTGCTCTGGTCCCTCGGACCCCATTGGTAGCCTTCCAAACTGTGGTGCTTAGAACCTGGAAATGAGCACAGGCTTTTCCAGCTCTGGGCAGGGGCTATCCCAGTTCTTCTAGGGGAGGAGCATCCTGGCCGAGTGGTTCTCAGAACTACTTCCCTCTAGGGTGTGGCACTCCTGAAAGGGGACATGAAGAAAAGCCAGGGACTGGCCTGAGTCTAAAGGCGACATTCCAGTAGCCAAACTACCCACACATGCCCTACTGTGCTCAAGTCTACAGCAGCTCCCTTCTGGATCCCTCCTGACTCCAGGATTCTGTGGACACATGTTACATGGACAGTGGCATTGTCTGTCATTTCCTGATAGAAATTGTCATTTACAATTCTGCTTCCTAGAGACCCAAGTCAGTAAACCCTTGCATTAGAGACCAATCTATACATCCCGTGTCCTGAACGTTTAATTTAAAGCATCTTTGTTTATAATCTCAAGTAGCTGAGTTGTATTTTATTTTATAAGAGGGTCATAGCCCAGATGACCTCCCCCACTAAGTTAATAAGAAGCTGATGTCTGGGTTGGAGAGATGGCTCCACAGTTAAGAGCACTAATGGTTCTTCCA